TTAACTGATAATCTAAAACATCAAATTATTAAGGTAGATTTTTTAAATAAGAAATTGACAAATATTTAATGAGCAGTATAAATATCTTTTTAGGTACTTAATTTTTTTTTTATTATTTTGTTTTACTTATTTTATTAATATAAAATAAAAATAAATAATTATTTTCCAAGTTTATTGATCAAAATAAAATAAGAAAAAATCAAATTAAAATTAAATAAAATATAAATTTTACCATATTAAAATGTATATTTTTAATTTGGATGTTACAATTCAATTTAAAAAAATACTTTAAATTTAGAAAAAAAATGTATAAAAAGGAGGTTGAACAAGTAATGAGAAAATTAAAATAAATATAGAAATATAAAAAAGCATCATATCTGACAACCCAAGCTCAACTAATGTAATGAATTGCCCAAAAATAATTAAAACCATTTTAAAAAAAATTATTATATTAAAATAAAGAAATATTGATTTTACCTTAAGGTGTTTTTTTAAATTAAAGCTGCTGATTTTAGAGAAAGAAATCATTTTGTTGTTAATGCACAATAGGCATTTCGCCTTTAAGTTGAGTTTATCATCTGTATCATCTATAAGCTTGAAATATTTTTTGTATGTTGGAAATGGAAAATCGGTTTCTTCTTCTATAATCTCTACTAATCCATAATATCTAAAACTATTTTTTATTATATATCTATAAAATGAATATTAATATGACTTACAAGATTTTTCAATATAAAAAGGAAAAACTGATGTTTAATGTTTCAAATGATTAGATGAAAAATCAATATAAAACTCGGCTCAACATTTAATAATGAATAAATTTAAATAAAATAAAATTTTATTTTCATTAAATTTTAAACAAATATTATTAATATTTAAAAAATAATATAATTTATATATTAAATTTAAAGGAGCGAAGGAGCGGCTCCTCCGCTCCAGCCCTAAAAGGAGCTACTCCCGCTCCCGCTCCTCATTTTTAAAAAGGAGGGGCGCTCCAGCTTTTTTTGAAAAAATGTAGCGGCGCTCCGGAGCGCCGCTCCTTAACAAGACTGCTCACATATTACAGGACTATATTTCCCTCAAATGTGAGATTTGCTTCCTATATTCATTTCTTTAGGCACCACATTAGAGGTCTGCATTGGGCGGGGTTTCTGCCGGCCCTTCCACGCCCGCCCATATAAAAGGGCGGGTAAAAAAATTTCGAGAATGGGCAAGCGGGCGGGTTAAAAAAATTTGAAACTGTGGGCGGGATGGGCTGGCGGGTTAAGAAATTTACAATAAGGAAATTAAAAATTTTTGTTCAAAAACAAACTAAAAAAAATAATTGTTTAAATGATCTATAACAATATTAATTTTTTTATATTGTACCATTTTTTTAAATGAAGAACATTTACCTAACTATTATGTAATAAACAACAATAAAACTTTTTTCTTAGAATAAATAAGCATTTTTATCTATTAAAAATTTCCTTTTATGGGAATGTAATAAAACTTTTCTAGTGCTTCTTCCGAACGCGGATTTAGCATTGCTGGAAGATTTTTAGAACAAAGAAGAACGTGTTTGAATCTAGAAAATGTCGATTCAATTATTATTTTTGCATTATAATTACATATAATATTAATTTTACATTTATATTTTTTTCATAAATATTGAATTTGATCTAATAAATTATCCATAATTTAGAGGGTGAAAGGCCATCGAAACTTTTTAAATAAATCCCTTAACAATATGTCTAAATTAAACATATTATTTAATTACCTCCCTGCTCGTCAATCCTTTTTTTTAATCAACTACTTTAATATACACAAAATCCTCTACGCCCTAATATCCTCATCGATCTTCAAATGCAATTATTTGCAAGTTTCTCATGAAATCCAAATCTTGAGGCTCCTCGAAAATATATTTAACATAAAATTTTCCGATTTATCCTGGCTTCAGGCCACCCTTCCTAGCAAGTCAGGTGGTATTATCCGATCCTCGTTACAACTTCCTCTTTCAGCCTTTATCTCGTCTAGCTGCTCAAATTATCATCTATTATGTATTCACTCTTATAGATCTTGACCTATCCCTGGTTGGGACAGCAATAACTTGTCCACCCTCTGTCATCCTGCCTCCAGCATTCAAAAAGACTGGGGTGCTTCTTTGATCACCCGTTACGTTGAATACCTCATTTCGAATAAGCCCCTTGAGGAAAATCCCAATAACATAATATTAAATGAAACTCAGATAATTGGTTGGAAGCCACCCCCAGTTCCAATCTTAGCCTACTCATGACTGGCAAACAGCTACGTATATCCATAGCCCTTCGCCTTGGCTGTTAAGTGATCTCCATTTGCATCGATTGTGGCATGTCCATCGAATCGAAAGCCCACCATTGCAAGTTCTCCCGTGAACGACAACCCTGCCATAAATCCATTAAGAACATTCCCCAGCTGGCTTTCAAAAAAGTTAATATCCCATCCATCCTTGAATCAGTGGGCCTTTCAAATGAAAACGATATTCGTCCCGGTGGTATCCCTCATTCTCTGGACTAACGGTCTCCCGTTGACTTGGGACTATACTTGTATCGATTTTGCAACAAAGTCCAACCTTTAATTTTCTGCCATTAAAATGGCAGATATCCTTAAAAAACAAATATGCTGACCTCACCAATATGATGTTCATGCCAATCGTACCAATACCTTAGGCATGTTCGGAAGTGAGGCCTCGATTTCATTAAAACCACAGGGAAAAAATAATACAGATCTCTGGGACCCCAATGAAGGATTTTACCTTCGTCGGCATATTTCTCTCGAAATCTGTCGGTCTAAATATTTTAGCATTCACCCTTATCTATGGTGATATGTACCTTTTTTAATATTTTTTTAGTATTTTTAATGTTTTTCTTTATAAAATATATAATTTTTTTATATTATAATTTTTAATATTGTTCTTATTTGTATTTAATTTTTGAAGTTTTTTATAATAATATATTTTTTTTTATTTTGAAAATATAAATAATAAATATGGGAAATTAATTTATAAAAAAGATTTTCTAAATAATAATATAGAAAGCTAAATTATATTTATTTGGAATTTTTAAAAAAATTAAATTATTTTAAAAAATGCTATATTGTTTTTTTTGTTATATATACAAGAAAACGATTTTAAAATATTTAACGAGCTACATTTAGCCATAAACATTACCCATATTTTAAATGGGAAGATCTATGTTGTTAAAACATTGCGCTAAAAATTTCTATAGTGGTAGCTCGTTACTAATTTAGAAATTAGCGAAGTAGCCTTTTACTTCCCTGCTTTTAATTATATATGCACATAAAAATCCATAATTAATTCTAAAATCATAATCTTTTTATTTATTTTTAAAATTATATATTTAATAATAAAATCTATTTTTCAAAATAATTTTAATTGACTATAGAGATTTTGAAGATAATTTTGGTACAGATCATATCGACTGAGTAATATCCCTAGAAGATAATAATATGGAAATGCTTTTCCTGAATTCGCAAAATATTTTAATCTCGATAAAAAAAATTAACACAAGGTATAAATTTCATAAGTGCCAGGAGGTTTTATCATCTAACAAAACTAGTAGCTTCAACTAAGAAACATTTAAAAGTAATATATCAAACAAATTTAACCAAGGATCGAACCGAATCCGGAAAAGAAAACCCGGATTTGGGGGAAAAATCTGAACCCCGTTTATAAAATTTTCAAAACCCCGAACCGAACCCGTGAATTTTATTTGAATCCGGGTTCCACCGGGTTCAGTGTATTGTTTAATGTCATTAAGATATTTGTGTAAATATTAATATTTGTAATTTAATTGAGATTTTATAATATTTTCAAATTTCCTATTAAGTGAAGTTTTTATTGTAAACAACTTAATGCATATACGCCATTTTTAAAACTTATTTAATTTATTCTCAAAGATTCCTATTGGAGTGTTAATAAATTTTAAACAATTAAATTCATTTACGCCATTTATTTTTAATTTTTAACTTATTCTCAATGATTATTAAGAAGAAAATGAAAGTGAACAAGTCAAAGTAAAAATTATTATATTGGATATTGTTAATTTAAGGAAATATGTCATTAAATTTTTAAAATTGATACATGACTGCTTTGTATTTTTAACTATATTTTGCCTATAAATAAAATAATAAATTTATTTTTTATGCCAAATTTATGTCTAGTTTTTTATGATTTAAAAACGCCACCTTTATGGATGATTTTTTGAAATAAATAATAATTTTTTTTAAATCCAAAAATAATTAAATGAATATTTTTGTTGATTTTTCTTAATAAAAAAAATGTATTTAATACTACATTGCGTGCTAGTGTTTAACGATTATTTAATAATTCATAGCTCTTTTTGATCATCGCTCTAGACTGTGATGCCAGTATGGAAATGTTATAATTATTGAGATGCAATTAAAATAAACAAATTATAATATATATTTGAAATTTTAGTCATATTTTTTATTTGTGAAAATAGAGATAGTTAAAATATTTTAAAAAACTACTTTAAAGTAGCGTAAAGTCGCGCTACTGTTATGAAAGCGGTAGCGATAGTGCGCTACTTTTTTGTAAAATAGTAGTAGCGATGGCGCGCTACCTTTTTTGTAAAATAGCGGTACCGATGGCGCTCTACTTTTGTAAAATAGCGGTAACGATAGCACCCTACTTTTAAAAGTAACTTTTAACAACACTAGGGAAGATTAACTTTTGGGGAATAAAAACAACAAAATAACCTTAATCATTCGTGATAATGCATTGGATAGAGAAATGTAAAATTCAATGTGCTTCATTAAAGGTTTTCATAAATCATAAAAATAACTTTGTCCAAATCTTATAGATTAAATATGCAAATTTAAAAATTGTGCCTCTCCACCAAATGAAAATTTCTAGTTACCACCCTAATAATGAATTTATCAACATACGTTTTTAAATTGTTTACATGATAATTATTTAAAATTTAATACACATTAAATAGTCGCTCTGATTCTCCATCTTTAGCTCAAATTTTGATCTCCCTCAATAAACGTAAGAAATGGCACTCGGAATGTCGGGACGAAACTTTAGGACAGACTGAGACAGAGCATAGCGGTTACGATAAACACTATTTTGAGCGTTATCAAAAATTTGGAAAGAAGAAAAGAGTAGATTGCATAACTCGTAGAAAGGTTTAGTTCATATATTACTAAATGTTTGTATCACATTTATTGTAAATTATTTTTAAGATATCTCAAAAATCTTGTGTTGACGAATATAATATCCATTCAAGTAGATATTTTTGAAGATTAATATTTAATACATGCTTACTTATATTTAGATTTAAATAACAAATCTTTCAAAATCAGACAATTGATTAACCCATTCAGACTTAACAATATACCATTAAAATTGGTGTCTAGTGTTTATCACAAATGGAACAACGCTTTTCATTCAAATCCGATTCATCCGCCCGTCATTAATAACAAGATTAGGGAAGATTATGCAACTTTACCCATTAGGAAGAATACAATTGAAAATGATAAAGATATTGTCGGTAATATAAAATAAATATAATTGCTTCTTACTTGACACATCTATTGAAAAGCATAAAATATAATTTATTAAATCTATTATTTAGATAAAGTAACTGACTTAAATATAACAAATACTGGAAATATATTTGACCAAAATAAAAAATCTACGTGCAAACATGTTTCATCCTTGCTAACATCGATCAACAACATGTCAAGGGTAGTAATATTTGGAAACCAAACTAAAACATCAAATTTAAAGTCGGGTCAAGAAATGAATGATAAAAGAACTACCATTAACTTATCAATAAAAGATTCTTCCGATATATTATGTAAAAAAAATAGAACTTATAAGTGTTATATAATTAATAATGCTTTTATTTTTCAGTAAACAATCAACCTGTTAAACCTTTATCTACGCCATTTTTATCTCTACAAGACACTCTCGAGCCAATCTCCATTTCGGGTTCATCAAGCGATGGGGATTCCAAAATTGATCATAATTTTTGCATTCAGAGTCACATTGCCAAAGCGACTAATAATAAACATTTGAAGCCTAAATTTTGGAAGCCGCATTTAAAAATAGGTTGAAGTCTAAATATTATAATGTTGTTAAAAGTTATTCTTGAAAGTAATAAGCAATAGGTAAAAGTTTAGTCTTTAAAAGTAAGATTTTCTAGATTTTTAAAGTAACTAGCAGAACTATCTGGGATCATCACAGGTTTAAAGGGATAACTAAAATATTAGGATTTTAAGTTAAGGAATGATAATACGGTATTATCACGTTTTAATCGTGATAAAGAAGAATCTTATTTTTAAAAGTGTTTTACTCGCGTTTCGTTTTATTTCTTTTTAATTTTATTGTTATTTATTAATTTTCAATGTTATTTTTTTAGCCTTATGAAATAAGATATTAATATAGGGTATCAATCTATAGCTAATCAAAAGATCTATTCAATAGGAGGTCAATTACTCCACTAATGGGAGTCTAGGTCTGGGGGGTCTGGAATATTTTTCAAAACAAAATATCGATATGGGTATCAAATAATAGCTAATTTCTTCATTCTTGGTCTTGATGGGTTGACTTGGTTTGCAGGGGGGGGGGGGTTAAGATATATTTTTTAATTTTATTGTTATTTATTAATTTTAAATGTTTTTTTGGCCTTTATCTAATATAGGGTATCAATCGATAGCTAATCAAAGGATCTATTCAACTGGAGGTCAATCTCTCCCCATTAAATAGCGAGTCGAGGGAGGGGGGGGGGTCAGGAGTATTTTTTTATTGTAATAATAATAATTACTCAAAGTGGGTCGGTCTAGGACCTAGAGGGGTCAGGAATATTTTTCAAGATAAAATATCGATATGGGTATCAAATAAATGCTAATTTAAATATCTTTAGATTGAATGTATTCATTCTTAATCTTGATTAGGTATGACTTTGTCTGAGGGGTAGATGGAGGGGGGGGGATAAAAATAATTTATTTTGATATGGGCATCAAATAAAAGGTAATTAAAATATATTTTATTGTAATAATAATTATCATTATAAGTGGGCGGATCTAGGTCATGGAGGGTCAACAATATTTTTATAAAAACAAAATATCGATATGGGTATCAAATAAAAGCTAATTTAAATATCTTTTGTTTGAAAGTATTCATTCTTGGTCTTGATGGGTAAGACTTGGTCTAGGGGGTGAATATAGGAGGTGGGGGGTGGTCTATAAATATTTATTTTGATATGGGTATCAAATAATAGGTAATTAAAACTTTTATTGTAATAATATTAATCACTCAAAGTAGGTGGGTCTAGGACCTGGAGGGATCAGAAATATTTTTCAACATAAAATATCGATATTTGTACAAAATAAAAACTAATTTAAATATCTTGTTTGAAAGTATTCATTCTTGGTCTTGATTGGGTATGACTTGGTCTGGAGGGGGGGGGGGGTCGATGGAGGGGAGAGGAGTAAAAATAATTTATTTTGAAATGGGCTTCAAATAAAAGGTAATTAAATAATATTTTACTAAAATAATTATTATCACAATAACGATATGGGTATTAGATAAAAGGTAATTAAAATCCTTTGATAGTAATAATTATCATTCGAAGTGGTCAGGTCTACGCCCTGGAGAGCTCAGGAAAGTTTTTATCAACATAAAATATAGATATGGGTATCAAATAAAAGCGAATTTAAATATCTTTTGAGTGAAAGCATTCATTCTTGCTCTTGATAGGTAGGAGTTGGTCTAGGGGGGTGAGGGAGTAAAAAATAAAAAATATCGATAATGGATATCAAATAAAAGTTAATTTAAATATCTTTTGAGAAAGTATTCATTCTTGGTCTTGATGGTAGGACTTGGTCTAGGAAGTGGGGGGGGGGGGGGGTAAAAAATAAAAGATATTGATATGGGTATGGGTATCAAATAAAAAGTAATTAAAATATTTTTTTATTGTAATAATAATCACTAAGTGGGCGGGTTTAGGACCTGGAGGGGTCATGAATATTTTTCAATCGATAAGGGTATCAAATGAAAGCTAATTTAACCCTTCACTACAAATTTGGAAAAAACTCCCTAACTCCAAAGGTGTGGTCTATTTTACCCCAAATTTTGATTAGCTATATCTCAGAACACATTAAAGTTTGAGATCTAAAATTTTGAATATATATTAAGAAATTATTGGAGATAATAAATAAAAAATCTTAGATTAATAGTTACTTCTAAAAAAAAGTTTTGCAAATTTTCTTAAAGTTGCTAAAATAAAAAAAAATTTTTGAGACCTTCCTTTAATCATAGTGTTATCATCAAAAAAAATTTAAAAAATGCAAATTTTATTAAATATTTTATTAATTCAATGTTGAATAATGATAATTACATAAATTTTATAAAAAAATATCAAATATAAAAATAAATATTAATCATCAAATATCATGTAAATTTTTATAATAACATTTACGACAAAAAGTATTCATATGATCTTTACAAATAAATTTAAAACATTTTAAACAAATAAAGGTTGTTTTTTGGGCAATCATAGCATCTTCCTTTTTTATTTGATGAAGTAGGTTTTTCATCAGTAATATTGAGAACTAATGTTGTTATGTAATAACCTACATATAAAGGGTTCTCATATCTTTTGATCGTATATGGAGTAATGAGCTCCATTGCTAAGAGTCATCTTTTTGAAGAGCCTCAATCTTTTGATTTGTGTATTTTAAAATTAAATCTGTAATAATTGCTGAGATGAATAGTTTAAAGCTTTCTAGGGGGGATTTTGCATTTTTTGCATGTGATTTAACCCCTGGCAAACAAGAAATTATATTATGGGTTCTAGTTCTTTTTTGAGGCATGCATTCTTTATTACACTTGATTTTGCCATCTTTACCTTAATTTTTTTATATAACTCATTAAAAGATAGCATATTTTACTGTAACAATATTTATAATTATCTTCACACTCATCACTATCTATATCATCTTCCTCTGTTTTTAAGTTGTGATTGCTGTCATATAAATAATCATCACTTGATTTAGAATCTATTTCACCTATATAAAATGTTATAAATATTAAATAGAAAATAGAAAATACTTCCAGAACTTGATGATATTAAATTATCTATATGCTCGTTTTATAGTATTTAGCTCCACAAGAAAAAAAAATAGTATAAAATTTTAAAATTTTGGGTCACAATATAACAATGAAAAATTTAAAAATAAAATTTTTTTTTTCAATTTTATATATTAGTTTGTAATATACAATAATATTAATTAATTAATTTAAAAAAATTTGGAAAAAAAAAATTTCATAAGTACAAAGGTGGGACCTATACTACCCCAAGCTCAACAAATTGCAAATATTTTAAAGAATATCAAATCAATTATCTTGAAATTTGGTAGATATGTTCCTTATAACAAAATATTAAACTACTATAAAAACCAGGTCAAATTATCTTCAGGATTTTTAATTTACATGATTATAAAAGCCGTGGGGTATATTATTTACCCCACCTTTGTAGTGAAGGGTAAAAAAATTAAATTTAAAAAAACAAATAATAATTTTCCCTTTTTTTAGGGTTTTTATAATTGAGAGAAAAAACAATATTTATAATATCATGACTCGCAAAAAAATAAATATTTACAACAGGGATCATGTAATCCTAATAAAAAAAAATGTAGATCAAATCTATGCCCCAAAATATTGAAGCCAAAATTACCAAATGGGGGGGGGGGATAAACTATGGGTTGGAACTAATTTGAGAAAAATTGATTCCCCATTTTTAAAAACGAACGTTCACAAATCAATAAATTTAACCATTCTTAATAAGACCATCTCCATAAAAACAGCATCGAGAAGTTCTTCTTATGATAATTGTAAATCAATTTGCAATTTCCAAAAAAGTTGCAACAATAAGAGATGCCAATGTTTTAAAAGTGATATTAATTATAGTTAAAAAAATGTCGCTTAAATATTATTTGTGTAAATAATAAGTTGTTCAAAATTATATTTTAAATTTCAATTATCAAAATCAAATAAAATAAAATATGTAATTATATGTCTTGAAAAAAAAATATAATAATAGGAATGATTTGCTAGTGTATTAATTTATACAATAATTTAAAAATTTATAATACCATTGTAAAATTGCTGAATCGATAGTTTCAAATATAGCCTCAAGAATTTTGAGATTTAAAAATATTACATATTAGATTAAGTTGCGAGAAATAATTTTAACATTAGGCTACAATGAAGTTCTAAAAAGCATTGACTATATATGTTTACTGCTTATTGTTATATTTAATATTTAAGTTGAATATGTTTTATTTAACTTTTATTTTATACCTATGTTGATATTTTGTGTTAATAATAATATTCATGGCATCTTAACACGCCCGCTTAGTATTATAAAATTAATAATATAATCAAAAGATTTTTTAATACTTTTTATATGATACCCATATCAATTTTTTTTAACCCCCCCCCACTAATCCCAAATCAAGTCCAACCCTTTAAGATAAGAGTAAATATCTTCAGTAAAAAGATATTTAAATTACATTTTATTTAATTCCTATATCAATATTTCATGTTTATAAAAATATTCCTGACAACCCATGACATCCCGCCTACTTAAGTATAATTTACAATCAGGTGATATTTTAATTACCATTTATTTGATACCCATATCGTTATTTTGTGTTGATAAAAATATTCCTGACTCTCCAAAACCTAGATCCGCCCACTTAGAGTGATGATTATTATTACAATCAAAAGATATTTTAAATATCTAATATTTGATTCACATATCGTTATTTTGTTTTTATAAAAATATTACTGACCCCTCCATGACTTAGATCCGCCCACTTATCTTAATTATTATTACAAAAAAAAATATTTTTACCCCAGCCCCCTCCATCCACCTCCTAGACCAAGTCTCCATCAAGACCAAGAATGAATACTTTCAATAAAAAGATATTTAAAAAAAAATTATAACCACAATCATTTATCGTTTTTTCTTATTCAAAATATATATACATTTATTCAACCAATAAAGGTAAAGATAAATAATATAGTGAAGTAAATAAATTTATACAAAAGTGATAAATACTGAGAATTTATTTGTTATACCAGTGATAAAAACTGTAAAATTTGCCGTGACCATTTAGCAAATTGAGCACTAGAACCTTGTGGTTAATCGCTAGATTTGCAAATATATTTAAAGCGAACAAATCGCTATTGCAATATAGTTAGAGCGAACAAATCGCTATTGCAAATATAGTTAGAGCGAACAAATCGCTATAAAATTGCAAATATATTTAGAGCGAACAAATCGCTAGAGAATTGCAAATATATTTAGAGCGAAGTAATCGCTGAAATTTCTTGAATAAAAATTGGTGTCCTTTGAATTTGAAGCGAAGTTAACGCCAAATTGTGTTTATAAATATATTTTTAAGTGCTAAAATACAGCAGATTAAACACTTATAAGTGTTGAGAATAATAGTTAATTTGCTGAAATTCGAAAAAAAAATTTCATTAATTATAGTTGATAATTTATTTGAAACAGAATAAATACGGAATAAAGTGTTTTTGGGTTAAACATCACACAAAGAATAGTAGTGATGTATAAATTTTAGGCATTATATTTATGTATATGGCTTTATTGGAATATTCACAGTCCTAATCATTTCCTATCTCTTAACTCTTCAAGTAATAAAAAATTTTATTTTGAAGGTGATAGTTAATTTATTGTGAATTTGTGATGAAAAGCTTAAAATTCATAAATTACTGGGAGATCCAGTATAATATTCTTGGAACCCTCATCATTTTAGTGATATATGTATGTAGTTTATCTTTGGAAGAAGGATTAGAAGGAGTAGGAATGTAAGTATTAAAGGTTAAACATTGACCATTGAAGGACATAATGGAGAAGAGGATATGATGGGCAAAGTAACCTGGTTACCAGTACAGGAATTGATCAAAGGATGGACCCATAGCAACTTGGGAGAGTTGAATATAAATGATAGGATAGATAACACGCAAAGAAGAGACCGTTATAGAGGGTCTGGATATAGCAATCAATTGGGACCGTATAGATCGTCGAGAGAGAATTTGCAGAGAAGGCGAATGGAAATAAGACTAGGTTTTAATCCTCGAGGAAGAGAAAATCTAAATTGTTATAATTGTGGAAAACGTGGACATGTGGTATGAGATTGCCAAGAAACGAAATGTGGAAAATATGGACATATAGCCCCGTATTGCCCTCGAAAACGTGATAAATTACGATGTGCGAATTGTGGACGATTCGGTCACACTAGGAAGGAATGCATTGTTGGCAATTTCAATACAAGAGGCGGTTTTCCACAGAGAGACATGGGTCAAAATGCTACGAATGTGAAGATTATTGAAAATCGGGAAAATAAGAATATAGGAATACCTTATTTTACGGAGAGTAAAAGCCTAAATAATAAGTGCTTTCCTTGGTATAGAATGCTTAGAGTATAATTATTACAATCAAGAGATATTTTAATTACCTTTTATTTGATATCCATATTGTTATGTTGTGTTGAAAAAATATTCCTGACCCCTCAAGACTCAAACCCGCATTTAGAGCGATGATTATTATTATAATCAAAAGATATTTTAGTTACCTTTTATTTTAACTCATATCAATATTTTTTATTTTCCCCCTCACCTCCCTAAACCAACTCCTACCCATCAAGAGCAAGAATGAATGCTTTCACAAAAAATATTTAAATTCGCTTTTATTTGATACCTATATCTATATTTTATGTTGATAAAAACTTTCCTGACCCCTCCAGGCCCTAGATCCTACCACTTTGAATGATAATTATTACTATCTAAAGATTTTAATTACCTTTCATCTAATACCGTTATTTTGTGTTTATAAAAATATTCCTGACCCCCCCCCCCCATGACTTAGATCAGCCCACTTAGAGATATAATTATTATTATAATAAAAAAATATTGTAATTTCCTTTTATTTGATTCCCATTTCAAAATAAATTATTTTTACTCCCCTCCATCCACCCCCCCCAGACCAAGTCATACCCAATCAAGACCAAGAATGAATACTTTAAAACAAATTAGCTTTTATTTTGTACTAATATCGATATTTTGTGTTGAAAAATATTTCTGATCCCTCCAGGTCCTAGACCCACCTACTTTGACTGATTATTATTATTACAATAAAAGTTTTAATTACCTTTTATTTGATACCCATATCAAAATAAATATTTATAGACCACCCCCCACCTCCTATATTCACCCCCTAGACCAAGTCTTACCCATCAAGACCAAGAATGAATACTTTCAAACAAAAGATATTTAAATTAGCTTTTATTTGATACCCATATCGATATTTTGTTTTTATAAAAATATTGTTGACCCTCCATGACCAAGATCCGCCCACTTATAATGATAATTATTATTACAATAAAATATATTTTATTTGATGCCCATATCAAAATAAATTATTTTTATCCCCCCCCCTCCATCCACTCCTCAGACAAAGTCATACCCAATCAAGATTAAGAATGAATACTTATAATCTAAAGATATTTAAATTAGCATTTATTTGATACCCATATCGATATTTTATATTGAAAAATATTCCTGACCCCTCTAGGTCCTAAACCGACCCACTTTGAGTAATTATTATTATTACAATACAAAAATATTTTAATTACCTTTTATTTGATCCCATATCAATATTTTTTACCACCTCCCACCCCCTATACTAAGTCCTACCCATCAAGACCAATATTGAATGCTTTCACCAAAATATATTTAAATTAGCTTTTATTTGATACCCATATCGATATTTTGTTTTGATAAAAATTTTCCTGACCACCCAGACCTTGACTCGCCCATTAATAGGGAAATGTTGACCTCTAGTTTAATAGATCTTTTGATTAGCTATCGATTGATATTCTATATTCAACATATCTATTTTCATAAGTACCTCAAAAAACTTTGAAAATAAATAAATAACAATAAATTTTTTTAAAAAATAAAGCACAACTCGCGTAAAACTCGTTTTAAATTAAAATTCTTCATCATGGTTCAAACGTGATAATACCATTATCCTTTTAAAATTTGAATTCTTAAAGGTATCTCTTTAAAACCCGTGATGATGCCGGATAATTCTGATCCCTTTAAAAATTACGACATAATAGACGAAAAATGGATGTTTGTTGATATGTTACAATGTTGCTACAAAAATTATGTGAACTTTTATATGTATTGATTTTTTTTTAACTCAGTTGGAATGAATAAATGTTGGAAAGGAATGAAGATTTCCTAGAATCCCTCACCTGGAAAAAGATTTAAAGTATAGGTGGTTAGGCACGGACTTGACTGATGAAGTGGTTTGTTGCAGTATCACGCTGGTTTCTAACTAAAAAAAGATAAAATATTAAGAGTCTTTAGTAATATACAATATTGTTTCAATTAGCTTAGATTTTAAACTGGATTGACATTTCAAATAATTTTTAAAATTAAATTATACAAAGAAATATTGTTTAAAGATAAAAATTATTTTTTTTTGTCCTCATAAAAAGAAGGTTAATTCGATTTATTAAAATTCTGATATTTTATGACTTAGTCCTTTTTCAGAGACATCAATGTCTTTTTTTAATATACTATCATCCTTCACTCTAATTAATATCGATAAAAAACACTGTTTCTGAAAATTCCCAGTAGTTGACTAAAACATATATTTATTATTATCGATAAAATATAATGGATCAGTTAACCCTAGTTTTAAATAAACTTATTTAATTACAAGGTGTTGATTGGAAGCTCATTCTTTCTCCAGCCAGCTTACCGCTGACTGTAGATTTTGTTCCAGATCCACAGTCCATGCATAGGGATTACATAGTAACGAATTATTTTGTTTTGGCGGATGAAGGTTTACAACAGCCAGACTCTATAAATATGGACCAAAACAATGATAAGAACTTTTATACCGATAATAGAGCAAGCTTTGATTTATTAGAGCAATTATTATTTCAGCGATTGAGATTTGTAAGTATACAATTAATATCAACACCCTTATAAGATTTTTAAACAATTTTTTTTGGTAATTATTAGATTTAACTTTTTATTGAAGAATGTAATAATATCTAATTTGGTAACATCATAATTCACAACTATATAATAAAAAAGGCATCGTTATGCCTTAGGCATGGTAGCCAATCTATTTTTAAATTTTGTCATGCTATGTATTTTAGACGTGTCCAATCTAAATTTTGGCGATAGATATTAATTGTTCAATTCATGATAATTAGTAATTACTATATTAAATAATTAATCGATTTTTTAACGCAATCTATTAAGGGTGGACAAATAGTGACTAATATGTCTCAAGATGCTCAACATTTTTTTTTCCCCTTGAGCGCTTCTCGGAATTTTTCTTCCAATCTAATAGATAAACTTGTGTCCCTAAGAAGTACAACTAGCCCAAGAAAGCCGAATGAATATTTAATCAGCATTGGCAGAGCTTATCATTTGTTGAGCCTTCCGTCATCACCATCTAATACTATCAATATTACCATTTACAAACCCAGGTTAATAATCCCTAAAATTTGTTATCATTATTTTTACTTGGTAGAATAGTATTTTATAATCTATGATACATATTAGTGCTGCAAACATTTCTAAAAAAATCTAACGCGTTCAACGTTCATCGAATTGAACACTTTTAACTTTAAAAAAGCAAACGCATTCACGTTCGTTCAAACTTTATGAATAATTTTTTTTTTAATTTAATTTAATATAAATAAATTAAATATCATATTTTTTAACACAATATATTAGCCATGTTTAAAATTAATAAATATTTTTATATATTAAAAAAATTTCTTAATAACTTTTAATGTATAAAAACTTTTATATATCATATAAAATTTAATTATTTATAAAATATATAAATTTCTAATACTTTCAAATGTGTTCAACTATTAAAATATAAAACCCTTCTTAAAAAAAATTTAATTATTTATTTTTCATTTTATATAACTATAAAATATATTAATAAATAGATCGAAATTCAATAATCACACTAAAAATAAATAAATTTTAAAGTTATTAAAACTATTTATATCTATGATGTGTCGTATTGGGATATGGAATCATGTGGGATTCGAGATCTTGAATCCCCACGTTTTATTCGGAATCTTTTTTTAATATTCAGAATCCCCATGAAAATAAAATAATAATATTACTTTTTCTTCCCTTTTTTGTGGCTGGCACCATATAATTACAAGGCCAAATAAATGAATTTAAAAAAAGAATTTAAAAAAAAGTAAATAGTATAAAATTAAGTCATATATTGAATGAAAAGGGATGAGGTTAAGACATTTTTGTTTTAAAAAATATTAAATATTTTCACATGAATATATATTTATAAAAAAATCTGAATTAAATAAAAATTATTTATTGGAACAATTATTCAATGCAATATGGCATTTCGTTGAATATTTAAGGTTAAACACTCGCAACTTTTATTCATGCGACCCATTTTGCGATTGCATAACGATGTTTTCCCATAGTTTATGACATTCTGGGAAGCTCCTATATATTTTTAGCACTTTAAATGAAAAATTAATATATTTTATGTACATGAATTTATTTGAGGAGTGTGGTTATTATAAAAATAAAAATTTTTAAAAAAATATTTAAGGGATTCCAGGGATCCAAACCGAACCGTTAAACCGCTAAAAACCGGTATTTTTTATCGAACCTGAACCTAACCTAAACCGCTAAAAAAAATTCTAGCCGAACCTGAACCGAACCGATAAAATGCCTCTGAACCTGTTCGAGACTCATGATTTTATGCTTATAAAATAATATGTGAGTTATTATTAGTATAATTGAAAAAATTTCAATTATATTCTAATTATTTTAAAGATTATCATGAATCACGTTTGATTGATAAGTGTCGGTAATAATTTTTGTAAACTTTAGTAAATTGTCATTTAACAACATTTTCCTCTAAGCTTATAAATTATAAGGCTTAGAGAAAAATTAAATCCAAAATATTATTATAATCACATATCAAATCTGATATCATATTGGCAGTGCATGCTACCAGAGTTAGTGTGGACTATGGAAAGATGTTTTTCAACAATTAAATTTATAAGCTATCTCCTTATAGATGTAATTTGAGTGGGACGAATTTTGAAAATATATTAATTGTGTGGCTTAATAAAAAAAAATTAAGTAAAAAAAGTAAAATATTTCTTCATATTAAAATTAATCATTGATATTTATTTTTATATTTATAAACTAAATTTTATTTTATAATGTGCAATTAAAATAAAAGGTAGGTTTTATACATGTATTTTTTTAAATAAATAAAATAAAAAAATATTTTCCCTATACATAATTCGAATGTAGGTTTGAATACAAAAGTGTTCAAACCGGTTTTTAGAGGTTCGAACTGAACCGATATTTTAATTTTTTACGAACCGAACCTGAACCTTGAATCGTTATTTTTCCGAACCGAACCGATATTCGTTTCGCTTTGGAGATCCCTGAGGGATTCGGAATCTTTTTTTTTAAACAATTAATTTATATTTTTTTTTCTTCCTTTTTTTGCCGCCTGGCTGTCATCAGAAAATTTTATTTTTTAGAGATATTTAATATGTATTACTTTTATGCTTTAAATCATTAAATACTCGAAAAAATGGTTTATTAATTTAATATAAATGAAATAAATATTATTTTTAAATTAATAATTTAGACAAATTAGAGGAAGAGAAAGCGAAAAAATTTATAATATCATCATTATTTAATTGTTTAGATAAATTTTTTTTTCATTGATAAAATGGTTAAATTATTAAGACATGGTATTAAGAAGTCTTGGCAGTATATGAGATAGTAAGAATTTATCATCTCTTATATTATGCCATGTGCAATTATTAAATAAGCATTTGTATTTTTTTTGGTTTTTATTTTTAGGTATATTTTGAAATTGGAAAAATAATTTTATAACAAGAAATCAACCTAATTTGCTATATATCGACCAAAAATCGTTAAAATGTAATAAGACTTCCCCCCCCTCCCATTTATTATTTAATTTAATAAATATGTATTCGGAATCACGAGGTCGAGTATGATATCATAAACCAGAAATCACTTGGTTATGGATGGGTATAGTAAAACAATAAAAGATTTAAATATAAAAAAAATTAAATGTACCTCCCATTCAAATTTTTAGAAGCAGTTGCTTCGGACCCCCACCGTTGTAGGGGCCATTGGTCCCCGGGTAGGGTAAAAAAAATTCAGAAAAAATAAAATTTTTAAAAAAAGTATTTTTGAAATTTAAAACTACTTTAAAACTAATAGAGCTGAACAGAATGAGATATTTTTTATCAAAAATGATAAAGTACCTTTAATTTTATTAAGGTTTGCTTTTTAGGGCTCTACAAGACCCAGCTCCCCTAATAAATGAAAAGAGATAAGGTTAAGAAGACATTTTTATTTTCACATGAATATGTATTTATAAAAAATTCTAATTTAAAAAAAAATTATTTATTGCAACAATTATTCAATGCAATAAGGCATTTCGTTGATACTATGCCCATCCAAAACCAATAATTTCTGGTTTATGATATCGGACTCGACCTCGTGATTCCGTATACATATTAATTTTAAATAATAAATGAGGGGGGGGGGTCTTATTACATTTTAACGATTTTTGGTCGATATATAGCAAATTAGGTTGATTTCTTGTAATAAAATTATTTTTCCAATTTCAAAATATGCCTAAAAAACCAAAAAAAATACAAATGCTTATTTAATAATTGCACATGGCATAATATAAGAGATGATAAATTTTTACTATCTCATATACTGCCAAGACTTCTTAATACCATGAAAGATCCATTTCTTAATAATTTAACCATTTTATCAAGGAAAAAAAATTTATCTAAACAATTAAATAATGATAATATTATAAATTTTTTCGCTTTCTCTTCCTCTAATTTGTCTAAATAAATTTAAAAATAATATTTTTTTTACATTTAATTTATATTAAATTAAATATAAATTAAATGTAACATTTTTTCGAGTATTTAATGATTTAAAGCATAAAAGTAATACATATTAAATATCTCTAAAAAATAAAATTTTCTGGTGCCAGCTAGGCTGCAAAAAAAGGAAGAAAAAAAATATATAATTTAATTTTAAAAAAAAGATTCCGAATCCCCTTAAATATTTTTTTAAAAAATTTTATTTTTATAATAACCACATATACTCCTCAAATAAATTCATTTACATAAAATATATTAATTTTTCATTTAAAGTGCTAAAAATATTTAGGAGCTTCCCAGAATGTCACAAACTATGGGAAAACATCGCTATGCAATCGCAAAAGGGTCGCATGAATATGCGAGCGTTTCAAGAACAACCTTAAATGTTCAACGAAATGCCATATTGCATTGAATAATTGTTCCAATAAATAATTTTTTTCAGATTATTTATAAATATATATTCATGTGAAAATATTTAATATTTTTTAAAACAAAAATGTCTTAACCTCATCCCTTTTCATTCATTATATGACTTAATTTTATACTATTTACTTTTTTTTAAATTCTCTTTTTAAATCCCTTATTTTGGCCTTGTAATTATATGGTGCCAGCAAGAAAAAAGGGAAGAAAAAGTAGTTATTTTATTTTCATGGGAATTCGGAATATTAAAAAAAAAGATTCCGAATGTTGGGATTCCGAATCCTACATGATTCCATATCCCAATACGACAACTGGGCACATTTTACATTTCGTAAAGATATAATTTGTTTATTATATATGATGTTACTGTTATTTAATATATTTGGGTCATAATAATGTTAATTCTTAATCAGGTGATAATGATGAAATAACAACATTCATGCTTACGCTAATCTATAAATAATAATATTCAAATTAATAAACTATACTATAAGGTTGAAATAGTGGCTGTGATAAAGGAAACAATTAATATTTTTTATTTTTAAATGGATAAAAATAAGAAGATTTTATAAAATTTAACGCGTTCATCAAAAAAAAAATAATACATTCACGTTCAAAGTTCTCAAAAATAAAAGGAACGCCGTTCATCATTTTTTCCAAATAAACGAACTTCGTTCACGAACGCGTTCAAATATTAATATATATCCATTATCTTACTTTATCATTATTGGATTAGAAAGAGATTTTACCTTTTGGAACAATAAATACGAATAGCAATCCCTTTTATCTAAGCGATAACATCTAAATATTTACGCTGAATACAAATTCCCTTCCCTTTTTTTTCATTCGTTCCTTTACAGACACAGTCTGACGGGTAGTAGCTTCGAAACAACCCATAGTCTGCCTTACACCTATAATTTGAAATCTGCAGAGGACGAGTCCTTCCAACGTTGTGCGACTCATTTCCGTTTCGAACGCGTTCTTGATTCCTTCTCCTGGAATTCCTTGGACATTAGGGTAGCAGGTGCAGTCGGTCTCCCTCCTTCGGTTGCAGCGTTAGATCGATTTGGCTCGGCTCTAAATTCAGCTAGATTTTTGATCCTTTCGCCACCCTCCCACCTTATTGATTTCGATTATAAAAACCGTGAAAGTATGAACGACATGAGTGTAGTAATTAAGAGTCGAACTTCAAACGAATGTCCTCGTTTTTTAAAATTGGTGGCATTGCTCAACGGAGTCAGACATTCATTTTACACGAAAATTTATTTGGAAGATAACATGTACTGCGACATTGATGAGATGGAGGGAGAAAATATTGATAAAAGGGCAGATAAAATATTAAGCGAATATTATCTTGAAAATGATGAAATTAAGGTTTGCCTCATTTATTAAGACGAGAATTACCATTCGATTCGTTTTATTCACGTCAGTTAATCCAATTAAAACTAAAATATAACCTCGAAATAAAATCAGTTTTAGTCATAGTTTTAAAAATTATTTTAAATTTAACTGTGAAATTCTGGTTTGTTCGATGTACGATTTAAAACTTTTAACCTACAATATCAATTAGACCCTGGCATTAAATTACTGATTTGTATTTTGCAGAGACCTGCAGGGCCGGGCCGTATTTTAAAATATACCCGGGCCGGGCCTGAAAATTTTTTTTTCAAAATATTCGGGCCGGGCCGTATTTTTTTTCAAAATTTATACAACATGAATTATTATATTCGTCAATTAGATATGGTTATAATGATTATATATAGTTATGATTAATATCATGTTTGGTGAAAGTTAACTAGCTAACACTCATAGTATCTATTACATAATAAAATTAGAGTTTTCCTGCCATGCAATAAATACGCAAAGGATTAAATACATTATCATATAATATGTGTTATATTTTTTATTAATTAAAATATCAGTTTTATTTTTTTTATAAATACAATGAATATAGTATATTCTCAAAATATTATTTACATTTTTTATAGTATCAATTTGTAATATACTAAATATCTGTTTAGAATAAAAAATATGAATATACTTGCTTATTAAATGATAATACTCGCCGAAAAATATGATAAAATACGAAATAGTTGAATTTTTTGTAGATATATTAGGTCGAATATAATTTTAAAAATTCCTAGCCGAGCCTAAAAAATTTTTTTTTTGAATTTAGGCCAGGCCCCCCAAATTTTTTTTAAATATCCGGCGGGCCCGGCCGTAAAAAAATTTTGAAAAAAATGGCCAGTCCGAAACATTTTTAATCCGGGCAGGGCCTTGCAAATGGTACCTCTGCAGGTCTCTGGTATTTTGTAATATTTTCAAACGTCTAGGAAAGTATTCTTCATAGATTGTGTTTGGTTTACTTTTAATATTATATACAGGGTTTTCTGTTATTTTCGAACTGAAACATTTATTATGAGAGCACAAAATACGTAAACCGTATTTTTAATATTTTTTTTCATTCAATTCGAGCATCATATGAAAAAATTATTTTAAAAAATGTAATTACCCTATTTTTTCTAACAAATTCTCATTTAACGAGCATTTATTTTTTTTCTAAATTTTACAACAACATAATTTATTCTTCAAAAGCAGGGATTCGAACAGAAACTGGAGAAGAAAACCCGCGTTTTTAGAAAAAAATCTGAGCCCGAACCAAACCTGAACCCCGATTATAAAATTTTCAAAACCCGGAACAGAACCCAGGAATTTTATTTGAATCCGGGTTCCACTGGATTCAGTGTATTGTTTAAAGTCATATATTAAGATATTTGTGTAAATGCAAATATTTGTAATTTAATTGAGATTTTTTAATATTTTCAAATTTCCAATTAAGTGAAGTGTTTATAAATTTTAAACAACTTAATGCATATACGCCATTTTTAAAACTTATTTAATTTATTCTCAAAGATTCCTATTGGAGTGTTAATAGATTTTAAACAATTAAATTCATTTACGCCATTTATTTTTAATTTTTAACTTATTCTCAATGATTATTAAGAGGGAAATGAAGGTGAACAAGTCAAAGTAAAAATTATTATATTAGATATTGTTAATTTAAGGAAATATGTCATTAATTTTTTAAATCTATACATGACTATGCTTTGTATTTTTAACTATATTTTGCCTATAAATAAAATAATAAATTTATTTTTTACACCAAATTTATGTCTAGTTTTTTAATTATGATTTAAATATAGAATATTTTTTTTTATCAATTCAAAAATTCTTAAACCTGAGCTGAACACGGAACCAACCCCGGGTTCAATAATATTTCCCTGAACTGAACCCGAACCGAACCCTTATTTATTTTACTTTATACCGAACCCGAACTGAACCCGGGCAAAAATTTAGCCTGGTTCGCCTCCCTGATTTAAACTCAGCGGAATATATAAAATTATCTTAAAAAATTCATCATTTCTATTGCATTGGAAGATATTAAAAAATACTTAAAATTAGAGGTACTTTTGCGCTTTTTGAATTTATTCTAACATATATTTCTCTAATTCCATATTAATAACAAAGAAATTACATTTCATAAGTGAAAATTTTATTTAGAAAAAAAAAAGATTGTACTTTTATATCAATTGTGTTCGCCTTTCCTCTAAGCTATTGGTTATAGAGAATAATCTTTCACTAGAAGCCGAACTTGCCAGGGCTGACAAAAATATTGTCTCGATTATTTGTTTTAGAGCGATGAATTTTTTAAATTCATCTTCACAACTTTCATCGGTAGATGTTGATGCTCCATCAGAATCATCTAGTAATTCTCTAAATGTTTCATTTAGAATATACGGTTTTTTATGTGTTCAGGATGAATTAAAAAAAGTTATAAATGATAGTAGGCATTATGCATATCATCTAATTTTATATCATTTAACATTTTTTAGGTTGCTATATATATATCTTCGTCTATTAAAAACTTAAGACTTTTGAAATTCGGATCTAGAATTAAGCCTACATTATGTAGGCCGCATAAGATCCTTTAAAAGAAATGTTGTCCTGTTTTTTAGGGTTTTGATTATTATTGTTTCACTTTCAGAAGGTTGACAAATTTTACTAATTTTTGTTTCCCTAATTTCATATTGTGAGATGAGAATCTGCGCTTAGATTATCCGAGCATTCTTTGATTATTGATAAAATTTTTAGTAAAGATAAATGAAAATAAATATATTTAAATTAATTTATTACCAAATTTCCATTGCTGAACGTGAGTTTAGAGATTTATTATTTTTCATTCAAGAAATTTTATTAGACGGAAAAAAAATGTTGTTTATAAAATGCGGAAGTTTTTTTGTTTTCAAAAATTATTTTTTTTTAAAAAAGAACTAAATTAAATTAGAAAATATATATTATAATTATAAAATTGCCAATTTATATTCATAAAAATACAATATTAAAAATTAAAATTTCCAGATTCACGGGAAGTTTATGTTCATGCCCAATCACGCCCGGCAAAAATTTTGGGAAAGCCCGTCATGCCCAGTCACGCCTAATAATTTAAAATTTATTTAAACTCACGCCGTGACCCATCGTGCCACGCATAATTTTACGGCCCGCGTCCAACTATACTCGAAATTAGCTTAAAAAATGAATATCTATAAAATTATTTTTGAATAAAAAGTTAGTTGTGATTTTTTAAACAAAAGAAAACTTAGATATCTTAATTTTTTTCGAGAATTATTTTGTCTTATAAAATTTGGAAAGCAATTAGAATCAAATTATTTTAATGAACGAGGTTTAAAAGAATGATATTTTTTTATAAAAAGACCATCATTGTGTCATCTGAAAAAAAAACTAACATTGATATAAAGATTAATTAAAACATCTAAATCACATGTGCATAATTAGTTGAAACTAGGAAGGAACATTTTTATTGATGAATATAACTATTAAATTGAAGTAATATATAAATTCTTAATTAACTATGACATCCATTAATTATTAAAACGAAAAAAAAAATTCTTATGTATTAAATAGTACTTTTTTGTTATAAATTGATTTTAAGATTATTTTATAGATACTTATATTCAATACCATTGATGCATAAAATTATTTTATGTAAATAAATTTATTTATAAATTTTTTAAATTATTTTATAATTCTTGTGACATATAATAAATAAATTATAAGTTTAGTAAAAAAGTTGTTGTAAATGAGAATTTGTTCGAAAGAACGGTAAAATATAGGGCGTAATCACATTTTTTTATTCGAATTGAATGAGAACAAAATATAAAAAATGTTGCTTACATATTTTGTGCTCTCATTATAAGAATTTCTATCCGAAAATAACTGCAAACCTTGTAATTTAAATTAATTGTAATCTATTGTATTTGATAAAAATGAGATTTTTTAAAATATATAAATGTAAAACTGCTTAAAGAATGTTGACCATCCTAATAGAATAACAACAGCATCCCCTTTAGAACATATCATTGAAAAATTAACAGATAATAAGTATGTTATTAATTTTTATAAAAATATTTATATGCTGAATTGTAGAGAACTTATAAGGGTAACCAAATTTCATGCTCAAACAAATTCACAAATTTATTGTTTTATGTCATATGAAATTGTATATTGGATTTTTCGGAATGTTGAGGGAGTTAAAGATTTGCCTGGAGCTTTTTCTCTATGCGAAGTAACATTTCTAATTTTACATATGTATACTATATAAGAAAGTAAATGTTTAATTATTTATTTTAGAAATTGATGGAAAGCTCACTTTTGAAATCATATTCTCCTAATAATGATCGACTTGTTTTTGGCACACACCTATATTATATACACATTGACGACAATATAATTAACCCCATATCTTCCTCTTTACACATTATTAAATCGCCTAATCAGTATTTCTTTGAAATTGAATTTCCTATTTCCTATTTTGTAAATCGTTTAAAGGTAAAATATAATCTAATTTTTTTACGTATTTTATTAAATATCATTTAGGGATTAATCGATGAATCTTATGATTTGATTAAAAATGAAGACTATGGCGATCAGCTTTATCGAAAACATATAATATTTTCAGAATATTTTTCCGTTGATATTCACACGGCCCAATCAGAGTTAAGTTTTTTTTGCCTTGTATAATTCAAGCATTAGTTTTAAATGATATAATAATTTATTTTTTATAAATATGATTATTTTGTTTCCAACAGGGGATCAATTTCCCAACAGCCAGGCGCTAGTTCGAATATAGCCCATAAACATGTACATAATTATATAAAAAACTCTAAAATTATCGATAATGACCTGAGTTCGATGAATTTTCCCACCACCACCAAATCATATTGCGATATAACAACCTTAGAAAAGGTGGATTTGCATTATTTTTCTTGTTTTGCGCCCGATTCAGCATACGAAATAGGGCTTGAATGGCTATCAGCTACTCCCAATCGATTGATAGAAGATTTAATTCGCAAAAATTGGGCTAGAAAGGCAACAACTCTGGGATTTCATTTAATTCCCGTTCTTAGGGATCCTTTCTTTTATGCCAGAAGTCAATGTGATCAAGATCCCTTGAGATTACCTGTATTTTTACCCATAAATGAAACTTTTGTACGCTTTAAGTACCCAGAGATATTTGGTAATTTCATTTTAATTTAATTGTAAAGCGATAATTTTTCTCATAATATTATGTATTCCTGCGTCCTAACTGGCGTTATTGATGTATGAGCATTTCAATCTTAATTTCAAAACCTTTCTTGAAAATTTGAAACATTATACGCCTTATTAGGAAGCAGGGTAAGTTAGATAATTTTTTGTCAAAATTATTTCTTTATTTTAATAAATTCAATTTGGCAGCCAATTCATCTGAACAGGATTCTCATCCTTTTCCTTTACTGCAAAAAGATTTTATACAATTTTTGGATCAAATAATTCGATCAGTTTTTGGCTATATTAAACATGTACCAACGCCCGATAATAAAAAAAAAATTTACAATCAAAAATATGAATTAACCGATCATAATCACCAAAGTGCAAAAAATCGAGATTTAGTTAATTATGGTCATCTATATAAGGCCTCTGAATTTGAATATATTCATTTTTCTGGTGGAATGTTTATTTCTTTAGAGATTCAAAAATCTAGTCCGGCATCTACTGATTCACGTGTTCAACAATTAGATTATAATTTACATTCGAGAAACAAAATTATCAAAGATAACAACTCTAATTTTATTTTTGAAAACAATTTTAACCCGATTAACTCTGAAAGTTTTTATATTCCAGGGTTTCGATGGTCTTGGAATTTTTTACTCACAAAAAGATGGAGGCTTTCATCCTTTTCAGAAGAATCCCTTTTAGAAAATGCGTTTAACGATTTTAAAAATTTTCTTAGAGATGAAAAGTTATTACTTAACAAATTTAATATTTATCACAAATTTCGGAAAAAGTAGCTACTGCATCAATTCATATTATTTAATTTATACTGTATTTTTTATAATTGCTATAATAAGAAAAATTATATGAGTTCAATATTTCATTTTAATAAAGATATTATTAACTCTAAAAATTTTTATTTCTTGGAAAATTTATCATTTAAATAACTACTTGTTACTTTTTCGAATTCATTTCCTATCAAAAAAATTTAGGTATATCACTAAGTATTGGAGTCCTGGACAGGTTGTTTTTGGTCCGACCCGATCCGAGAAAAAATTTAGATTTTTTTTTGAAAAATTCCATAATTTTATTTCAAAAATAGGTCTGAATCCTATTCAATCCTGTTGCAATGCGAGAGGTTATTTATATATTTTTTATTTTAAGACGATGAAATGTTGAATAAAATCTTCTTTATGGATAAGGAGTTATTCTATTTTTTAAAAACTAGTTACATAAGTTAAATATATATAATATATTTAGAGTTTGACAATACCTAATACTTGAATCTAAGATACAAGATCTTTTTGTATCTTGTGCTCTGTATTTATTTTACATTATTAAAAAGATAATTATATTTGTATCTAACTTTTTTTCTCGATCAATTCATTTTTTTGACACAATTTCAGATATTTTTTTATATTTATGTTTAATAAAATCAATATTCATTTTTTCCGTGTATACATTTGTTTTGTTTTTGATTCCTATCTATATGATATTATTTATTGTTTTATATTTTAGTATGCCAATACAAATTAGATAATTAAATTAATCATTATATTCCAGCAATTTTCATCTTATTTTGAAAGAAAGTATATTTATTTTCGCTCTCCAACATTTTGGGTACCGTATACTTGGTTTAAAAATAGTAATATTAAACTTTTCGATTTGTGGATATAATATTTTGGGCACTCGAGGTTCTATCATCATTGATGATAGCGTTCATAATCCTTTACGTGTTTGTCCATTTGCTAGCTTATATATAGACTTGTGTCTCCCGAAAAATATTATTGTTATTTAAGCTTCCTATTCCATTTCTTTTTTGCGTGAATAAATACCACATTTTGAAAATATTAGGAAAGTTTTAAATAAATCAGGAGTAGAGAAATATTATCTATCAAATTTCTTAAAATATTAAAATAGATAAACATAATAAATTATAAAAGTTATTGCTGAATATTCTAATTTTATACATAACATTAAAATAAAATGTAAAATAAGTATTTTAAGTTGATTACTTCCTTATAATCTTATATGCTTTTTAAAAAACCGTGGTCCATACCTTGGTCTAAAATAAATTTTGCCGTGGGCTCGAAAAATTTTTATTTATGTCTCCATATGGACAACATCTATATAACAACATTTCAAAACCAGTTAGAAATACAAATAAATTAGATATCAAATATAGTTACAATATAATTGAAAAAAATATTATTATGTCTAGATTGGTGGAACAGGTGCTCTTGGTAGGTTAACCCAGTTATATGTGTTCTTTCGCTAAGTGTACTTATCAGTATACTAAAAATTTCCCAAAAGTTAGCAAGTTAATAACAAGTCGTTTTTTCAATAAGATAAATGCCTTTTGTTCTGGTATTATCTTGCCTAAGTAGAATAGAGTATTTCTACTTTAAATTATAAGAGTATTATAATCGTTACTTAGGATAAAATCGGTGGCGTTAAATGAAGGGAGAGGGGGTCTACTTCCCCTCCCGTGATATTTTTTTTAACATTAATATTTAGAAGAGAATCAGACCTAAATTCTATTCAAATTTTGAGTCATAAAATTCACTTCAATTGAAATAAGCCGTATGAGTTGGTTTGATGATTTGGCTTCAGAAACAGGTGGGGTCATCTTACAATAATACATATAAGTCCTAGAATTTCAGATTTAAAAATATTTTATTCGGCCCAAACCAAAATGGTTGACACATTTTAATATTTTTTTTGTGGAGTAAATCAGGTCTATTCAAAATTAATTTGAGTCGACGTTTAAAATTTCATTTTACAACTGCAACTTTAGGTCAGATTCAAAATTCGACTTCTTAATAACATTACTTTTTAGGCCACCTAAACTTTAAAATTATCATCGCTACTTACATCCAAGAATAAAAAATGAAATTTTTATATTACGCAATTCAATTAAAGTTATATAATGCAGCAAAGCTCTTGAACGCTAAAAATTTTAAGTTCAGTTTATTACTAACATTACAATTTATATCGGTTAAGTGCAAACTAAAATAACTCATTTCGATTCCTAAAAATTGTAAAGCCTGCATATATTTCTGTAATGGTTTAAAAATAATATTTTTACTTTATTATAATTACATGTATGTATGGCGTAACTAGATTTAAAAATGTAGGGGAAGAATAGGGCAGAAAATAGTCTATAATATAAACTAATAATTTGCTTACAAAAAAAAAGTTCCAGAATATAATTTTATGATATATTTTTTTAATTAATAAATCAAAGCATAATACGGTTAGGGTACGAAATATATCTTTAAAAATCGTCTATTTTACAATGAACGCTTATAAATAATATGATTTATAAATAAAAATATATTTCTAATTATTTTGTTATTAGCGATTCATTTCAAGAAATTAATTTTGCTGATTTGATTGAAACTCAACTCACTTGTTATAATTTACATTGTTTATATATAAAGGTATAATTATAGGAATAATGATTTTTTTTAGAAGAATACATGGAGGATGAAATCCGTTATTGCATACTCGCCTGTATTTCAGCCACTGATAACATATATAGTTAGCGTAAAATAAGTAAATCCAAAAATATTCAAATCATAATTCATTCATTCTCATTCTAAAAAAATGAAACTGTGTAGCAGAGATGAGCAGAATCAAAAATTATAATTTAATGTTCAAATGAAATGATGCATGGTTAATGTTAATGGGGACAAGCCAGAAGGGGCTAGGTGGAATGATTAAATTGTGCGAATGGCAAATATATATGGGGCAAGTTGGAATGATATATTGTTAATATATGGAGCAAGATTGAGCCAAATATCAAAGTGGTGGATGAATCAGTCATGACATCTTTTCCTATGCTAATGTTATATGGCAGGATTAGCAATATGGGAAGGAGTCGTGATTAACTTTATAGTGTTGGGAACTGTCATGTCAATTAATATTATTCGCGAATAGAGATTTATATTCATTCATATGATTTTTTATTCTAAATAATTATAAACAGCATCATATTGTATTATTGGAATATTATTTATCTACTTATACTCAATAAATTGAACATTTATCTACAATTGTTATTTATATCAGGGTCTACTTATAGCCGGTTGGGGGGTGGGGGGGTTAGAAAGGCTTACATCCAATTTTTTAAGGGAAATAAGGGGTAGGATAAACTTATTGGGGGGTTATCTATTAAATTGTTAAATGAAATAGGGCAAAATATATAGCTGTAAAAATTAATACTTTTATTATAGACCTACTATAGTCAGTGGCGTCACTAGGTAGGGGCGCGCAGGGACTCTAGCCCCCTGAAAAATTTAAATAGCCCCCTGAAGCTAATTTTTTTAATGGCTTCTTAATATCCCCTTGAACTAAAAATAAATTGATTTGATTTCCCCTTGAACGATTTCTTTTATAATTCTATTACGTAATATATAGATTTAATTTTTTTATTTAAAAATTAATAAGACTATCTAAATTTTTATCAAATGAATACTATTTTAATTATTAGATTAGATTATTACTTATAAATTATATTTTCACTATGCCAGCTTGCAATCAAATTCTGTGTTAAAAATAGAATATCACTTACTAAATATTAATTTAGCATCAACAGCTGAAGCTCAATTGACATTTATTATGTAAATTATAATATAATTCTAATTAAATAAATATAATCATTTATTAATTAAAATTTAACAAATATAATATTTTAATTAGCCTAGTTCAAAATCATTAATCAACTATATTTTTATTAGTTTATATAAAATAAAAATATAATAAATTACTTGTATTGTATGTACCTTAATATAAGAGCATGGTAATAATTTATTCCAAACAATTATAAGAAATTTATTTATAAAAAGTAAGTAAACATATAGTTGATTTTACTCTATTATATAGAATTAGTTATAAAATACTAGGTAAAATTCCACTTTTACAGACATATTTGACAGTTAGAGAATATATTACAGTTAATAATTTAACAAAGTTTACTAATCAATGCTCTTGATATTAAATATTAAAATTTAATTTTCATACTATTCATCCCACAATGTCTTTAAAAGATATTTTCTGATGTCCTTGTCAATATTTTATAGTTTTCTGTATAATATATAATTCGCTATATTGGTAAAAATTACTTGATTGTCATTTGATAATTAGATATACTGTAAATCTACGACATATAATATTCCACTGTTTGTATTGTGCTTTAATATTTTTTTAATTTATGATTTAATTTTATCAATAGTTTATAATTATATTTTACTTTTATTAAGATAAATAAATTAAAATTACTCACTTTATAAAAAATTATATTTGATATATTATATTATTTAGTAATTTTATGGATCTATTATTAATAATTATAATACATTTCACTTCTGTCTTAAAACTTATCTTTGGCTTATATTCCATTTATTAAAAAACATTTTTGGTTCATTTTATATATTTATAAATTTTATTTTCCCAAAAATCTATAAATTATGATGAATAGTTTTATAAAAAAATATCAACTTTTACATTCTTTCTTTCAAATTATTATTTAAGATATATGCATACATATTTGAGGGTCAGGGAGTGGGGGGAGGACTAAGGGAGATATTTTGTATTAGCTAAAAATGATATTTACAAAAAGTGATAAATGTCTGAAGGTGGGGGATTTCCCCTTGCCCCCCCCCGGCTACGCCTATGTCACTGGTTAAAATGTTTCATTTCTAATATGGTATCTTTGCTATGTAAATAATTTAGGCTTCAATATATTTACATAATTTCTTCTTAAGATTTTTAGTGTTTTTGTTTTATCAATTTATCTAACGTAATAATAAATTCTGATATGAGTTAACATCTTGAGTGTCATGGCTATGACTGCAAATTAACCAGCATATATTATTTCTGGCAATGAAAGTTAAGAACTAGCTGCTGACATATGATTGCATATTTTAAATAAGCAATAATGATAAACTGTGTAGTCGCTTACATATTATTAAATATGGAAGATAATATTTTACAAATTTAATATCTCACAATAATTTTCTCGATTACTTATCTAGCTTCCATCATATCATCTAAGAGGAAGCCCTAACCAGGGATGTGAACTAGGACCCTGAACCCTCGTATTTTGGCCGAACCCGGACTCTTTTTAAAAGTGAAGAATCCAAGGGTTAAGTTTCATAATTTTTTATATTTTTTCAAATAAAGTTAATATAATTTTATATAAAATATTGTTATATTACTTTTACTGCTTTTAAAAATATTCCTTAGGGAACAAATAAATTTTCTAATTTTTCAATAAATAATACTTATGAATTATGTAATTTTATGTTAAAAAATAAGCGTTGAGGAAGGAAATGGAAAAAAAAATTTTTATTATAAATAAAGAGAAAGCAAAATTTTAATAATTATTTGAGAAAAAATATACACATATTTTAAAAAAATAATAATTAATTGAAAATAAATTGTGCTGTTAAAATTAAATATAAAAAAATATACTTTAACTCAAGAAAATTTCATATAAATAAATTAGCTATTGAAAAAGGGATTCCAGGTCGAGCAACATCAACTTAATGAAATTTCAAAAAGAAATCTAAATTTTCAATCCTAGCTAGCTTCAATCCTTAAAAGGTTAAAATTTTAGAAACATATATCCCCCATAACCACAATGAAACTGTTTCAGTCAAAGTATTTTTGGCGCTCAAATCTTAATTAATTTTAGCTAAAATATACTTTTGACAGCACCCCCCCTCCCACCTCCTAAACTTTGATTTTACACAGACCTGATCTTATAACATCAATATATTTTAATCCATAGGCGTATATTAGATAGGTATTTAATTGACCTTTAGCTATGTTATATTTAAAAATTATTTTTCCTAAAAGTTTTTATTGATCATAATTTTTTTTAAACCTATTTACCCTGTTCATAGTGATATATTATACACTATTTTATATAAAGGGGGGGGGGGGGGATAAGGATAAATTGTTTAAATTTATATTTACACGAGGGGGCAATTTTTGATGAGCTTAAAAGTTTCTTACTTACCTTGGTTTGATCCCTGGGTCAATTACTTTCACGTTACAATCAGCAATATAACACAACTACACTTGATATCATGTCATTATGAAATCTCTAATGACAGTTTAGGCAGATTATTTGTCACTTATCAAGTAAATTTAGTAAAACTTAACTTTTGAAGATTTTATTTAACTCCAAAATGGTAATAACCGAAACATATTATATATATTATTTTAAATAAATGGTATTTAATATCAATATATTTTAGAAAACAATCAATTGCCAAGGACATGAAAAACCTATAACAAAATTGAAATATAATTTAGAGGGTGATTTATTGTTTTCTATTGCTAAAGATTCTTCCCCTTGTGTTTGGTACTCTATAAATGGAGAAAGTTTAGGTACTTATAATGGACACAATGGTGCAGTCTATGGTTTAGATGTAAAATGGGATTCCACAAAATTAGTTACAGGTGCTGCAGATACTTTTTCTATATTATGGGATACAGAAACAGGTATAAATTAAGTTAATTAATTTTATATATAACGTAATTTAGGGAAGAGCTTAGGAAATTCTAAATATAAATCTACTGTAAGATCTGTAAATTTTAACATGGATGGTAGTCAGATACTTCTTACAACACAGCAACAAAAAGATGAACCATCATCAGTCTTTCTCTTAGATGTGGCAGAAATTGGAAATGATAATAATTGTATTATCAAAACTCTCAAAATGGTAGGTAAATCTAATGTTACTGGTTCAATATGGGGCCCATTAGATGAATATGTTATTACAACTCATGGAGATGGTAGCATATGCCAATGGGATATAAAAGTAGTGTAGATTTATTAATAAATATTGATGTAATATTTTAAGAATGAGAAATGTATCAATACTGCAATAGATCATAACTTGGAAATAAATGACATCCAATCTTCTATTGATATGGTATATTTTATTACAGCTTCATCCGATCTATGTGCTAAAGTTATTTTCCTTTTATGTACATATGTATAATAAAATTTTTATTATAGCTGTTTGACATGGATACTTTAAAATGTTTAAAAACCTATAAAACAAATCGTAAAGTCAATTCTGCTGCACTTTCACCCACATTTGAACATGTAATTCAATCATTTCATTATTACCTTATTAGTAATTTTAGGTTTTATTTTTTTCTACTTATAAACAAAAATTTTTTATTATAATTTTTATAGAATAATCTAGATTTTATGTTTCTTCATAATACATTTTACTTTTTTACCTAGAACATGGGCTAAATAATATGATTAAAAATATTCGTTAAGCCATGAATAAATAAACAAGGCTTTTTAATATAAGTAATTTAAATGATGTCCATTACTCATTTATTAAATCACCATCTAAACCTTTTATAATTCATCTAATTCTAATTTTTTTCAATTTCCCATTTAAACTACTTAAATACAACTAAAATTATTTAAAATGGAAACCTGGATATAATTGTTAAATATTTAGCTAATTAATCAAAGCCATATCTGTGAACCTCTTTCAAATCGAATGAAACTTTGCATGATGATTATATATTTTATGAGGACTTATGCAATTTAATTTTTTAGACTATATCCCAATTAGTTTCTGGGAATTTCTGGGTCAAAGCTAATAAGTGGTTTTTACAGATAAAGATAAATATTACTCAAAAATGTAATTGTTAGAGACAGTGGCATAGCTACGGGGGTGGTTTTTGGGTTCGGACCCCTCCCATAACAAAAATTTATTTTTAGATTATATGTTCAAAAGACTTATAAGTGGTGACTTTATATCAAATAAATACCAATAATATTTATATTTTTCTGGTTTTGATGTTTATGGAAGGATATTTTATTACTATTGAAATTATCTGGATAGTATTATTATAAAGTCATTGAGAATAAGCTGCTAAATTATAAAACAAATTATTGATGCATTTAAAAAATATATTTATTATATATTATCGAAGATATGGTTATGATTTGTAAGATAAACCCGGCCGAAGGCCGGGCAAAAGGGCCGAAGGCCCATTAAAGGGGGTCTGGAGGTGAAGCCCCCAGGCTTTTATATGTATGGACCCCCTCTAAGGAAAATTCCTAGCTACGCCACTGGATAGAGACCTATATTTGTTATTATTAGAGTGCCCTTATTCCTTTCCTAAATATAATTAATTTTTAAAAAAATATTGGTTTTTTTTCTTTTCTGGAAAAGGTAAAGCTTAATTTTTTAATATGTACTTGAACTTAAAATGTCTATAAATCAATATAAATTTATATTGAAAGAATTAGGACTATTGTTTTTTAGTTATTTTCTGATTTTTATCAATAAAAAAAAGAACTCAAAATTATTTTTTTTTAAATCTAATAGAGCTAAAATTCTACAATATGTACACCTAAAGATCTCCAATAAAATTTATGGGGAAAATCCCCTTTGATAGTGCTCCCTCCCCTTAACAAAATCCTGGATATACTTATGTTTTATAGGCAAGGTTTAATATTTTATTATATATTATATTAAAATTATGCAATTAAATAAAACATTTTTTATAAATTTTATACTTGTAAATTATGTATAAAAAAATGGTAGGCAATATTTCTTTATTTTCTCCAAACCCTGACTCTGAACTTGATCCTTTTTAAAATTATATTCCCAGACCTGGACCCTTTTTTTTGTTGAAGGGTTCACATTCCTGAAAAAACAAACATACCAATTTTTAGAAAATTATAAACTAAGGTACATGGTATATATTAAGAATCGACTTTTCCCAGAAATAAAACAATTTAAGAAATGGAAAGAGTTATCAAATAGTATCAAATATAGGTCTTCAGGGTTGGCAAGTTCATTGACTGGGTGTCAAATACTCTAAAAATCTGAAGAAGAAAAATACTAAAATATGTTTGTAAAAAAAAGAAAAAGATATAAATACATGTGATCATAATGTTGCTTATTGATTAAGTCCACAATTTCAAGTGGAACATCTTACTAGTGAATTTAATGATGTATGTGGTATAATACAAGAAATAGACGTTTTACAAAATGGTGGTGATCAAAATATTTCAAGTGATATCATAAATTTCGTTAAAGTGGCATATTTAATAGAAAATTATGTGAAAAATAGTAAATTCCATAAGAGATAATCATATGGACTTTGGTCACCACCATCTTATTAATAGAAGTGGCATTTGACTAATAATTCATATTTCTACTTAGAAATTGGTTGGTCTGGGTGTAACGTATGAAAATGATCTGAGATTTCAAATTTCACACCATCAAAATCCCACGGATGGGTTGTGAGATTTTGATTTAAATGGCCCCCAATGTTTTTGAAGCGATAAATTAAAAGTAAAAGTTTTCATGACAAGTATTTAAAATTACTAATATTATAATATAGTGACAATAATTATATACACCCTAACTGACTAATTATAATCTTTGATTGCTTTGCAAGATATATTTGTTTAATTTCAAGAGTTCATTTGTATTTTTAGATTAATAAGTCGAATACTGGATATATCAAATAAATAAACACCATTAAGCAATAAAGTAAAGGATTTATATAATTTCTATTTTTAATATATATAAATTAAATTGCATATAATTGAATAGTTGATTATTTATAATTATATACAAATAAACTTAAATATTATAATTATGTAGCGTAGTCTTATTGGTTATATGTTACACTACCTACCTTCAAAATCTTGGTTCAAATCCCTGTACATACCTTTTTTTAAATTGAAAATCTGATTGTTTTGTTCTTTTTATTTTTCACAAAATTCGGCATATCTTATAACCCAATGCTGCCTATCTAGTCTGTATTTCATACCAAAGAGTGGGGGTGATATGGTTCAGATTATTTTAGGCTATGTGGGTTGCCTTGGCAATATATGAATATTATTTAATTTATTATTTGTAAAGGAAGTAAAAATATCCTTACTAATACTCTAATTTACACAATATGAAATTTAAATATAAAACAAATTTAAGTTTAAAGAGGTCCAAAACCGAAGACTACAATCTCATAACTATCCAGATTTGACCTTTCCTCAGATTTCCTATACTAATATTAATTTATGATACCTCCCTTTTCTACCCTACCCTCTAAAAATCATTACCTACCCTTTTTAAATAATGCAAAGAAATGGTAAGATAAATTCTTAACTTATTTGTTTACCTAATATAATATTTTTTTAAAAAAATCCTATTTTTGAATTGAGTCATATAAACTAATAAGCAAATAGACGAAGAACTTTATTGATATAACTATTTATCATATAATGTACATTATAATGTATATATAGAATTTTATTTATAAACTACAACTTTCATCAAAAAAATATATCAGCTCAATATAAATTATAATATGAATGAAATATATATATTTTTTAATAAAAATTATTTGATCCTAATAAGGAAATATTAAATAATGTTTAGAGCGAAGATAAATGATTGCAATCAAAAACATTTTCAAAATGGTTTCCTCCATTTTTTATATAAATAAAATTATTATAAAATTTTATTTATATTATCGCGAATATAAAATAGTTCATATCGGGCCCATACAAAGTTATTATTATATTTTAAATATGTAAAAATAGGAGTATTAAGCATTGTGGTCATAGCCCTGACTTCTGTGTCAGAAGCCCATATCTGTCCTGTCATAACATTATTTACAATATACGTTTTTATATCCATTTTTTTATTTGTGTCATAAATGTAATACTGAATTACTTTTTCCATCTCAAATGTTAGCATAAATTGTGCCAACCATTGCCTGAGAATAATATGGGAATTTTGAGCCTCTGTGATCTCCACACTAATCGCCCTAAATTTTATAAAGTAGAAAAAAATGAAATTTTATAATAATATGTTACTCCTTTAAAAACAATTCCCATCACCTTCAATTTGCCCCAAGATAGTTGGTTCACCAAGTTGTTTACCATATTCAACATCCCGACAATGTTTGGAGAGCATATATTTTGGCATTATATTTTTCCCATGCTTTTGTTGTAGGAAAAAAATATCCAGGGATATTTTCTAATTTATTTATTATCATATTATCATCATCCAATTCTGTATACATAATTAATTAAAAAATCAATCAAAAACATTTCAGAAATAACATTACCTATGGGAGACTTTGGATCGATAAAATCTGTCAAGTGGAAAATTTTCATCTTTAAAGCCAAAATTCTGGGAACCACTGTCAATAGGAAATGTATTACTTATATCTTCACACAGATGTGCTGCTTATAAAAATATATCAAAAATAACATTACCTATGGGAGATTTTGGATCGATAAAATCTGTATCAAGTGGAAAATTTTCATCTTCAAAGCCAACATTCTGGGAACCACTGTCAATAGGTTATGTATTCTGTCAATAGGTTATGTATTACATATATCTTCACCCAGATGTGCTACTTATAATATTTTTAAAAAATTATCATATCATTCAAAAAATAATTTGAATATATATCAAAAATAACATTACCTATGGGAGACTTTGGATCGATAATATCTGTATCAAGTGGGAAATTTACATCTTCAAGCTGAACATTTAGGGAACCAATATCTAAAGGCAATACATTATAATAAAAACATTTAAAATAATTATAATGATATTAAATAGTGTTGTTAAACGGCTCGTTTTGAGTCGATTTTTAAAAACGGCTAACTCAATATTTCATCCAGAATAGTATTACGCAAGCCGGAATATTTTGTTTGCAGAAGGAACAAAGGTTTGGACATCTATTAGCGAAATCTCAAGGCTTAGGCAGTATTTTTCTGGCTAAAATATTGAGTTAGCCGTTTTTAAAAATCGGCTCAAAACGAGCCGTTTAACAACACTAATATTAAATATTAACCTTTGTATCTAAAAATATTTTTTACTTTATAAAAAAATGTGATTTTGAAAAAATCATTACCATTTTCATCTGGATCTTCATTTTTTCGCACAATAAATTCTTTTAGATTGCGTAGATTATATTTTGTTTTCAAAATAACATTATTTGTTGTTATTATTCATATACACCTTGATATACAATAAATAATTTATATAATATAATTATTACCCTTATCAAATATTTTATTGACAAATAAGGGCCAATCCAGGG